TCTTCATAGACACACCCCTTTCTGCACAATTTGTGCAATCGCACCAATTTAGTGCGCAGCAAGAAAAAGACCATGAACATTGTCGAGGAGGAGGAGTCATCCTTGGGCAATCCACTAAACAAGAAACCTGCTCGACGATGCTTCAATCCACTTAGTTGCATTGTTTGGCATGTTTGTTCGGGTTGCTAGCTTTCGGCTAGCCCTCGCGCTTCCCCAGGATATCGCGTGTGTAGATGCAGGCCTCAAAAACAAAAAACAAACCCCCAAGCGAAGACGAAGGATGATGTGAGTTAGTCACGGTTAGCCGAGAGAACCGGCGTAGATTGGTTTAGCAGGTGACCGGCGCCCGCCGTTGGCTCCTCTGTAAGGCGCGCACGCATCGTTTAGATCGGACTGCTGGCGCCCGTCTTGCGCCGTCCGCATCCCTGGGTCCGCCGGCCTCCCTCATCGACGGGGCAGGATCGGCTTCGTCAGCGGCGCCGGTGATGCCCAAACCAAGTAGCGCGGAGATCTTCGCAGCCACATGCAATAAGAAACGGGACCCTGTGAGGGCGTCGGTTGGTCGGGTTTCGAGAGCGTGACTCCCTTTCGTAATTCCTCATCGCGATGGCGATGATCGGCCATCAAGGGGGAGGGCTTTTTCGTAGATATCCACGATTTCTAGCACACTCAGACTGATTCACGACGTTGCTGGCAGGCTTGCATTGACCCTGGGCCTCAATGCGCATGCCAGGGGGAAGAGGTCATTGATCGAATCGCATATTGGTGCCCAGCCGGGACACATGATTCTACACAGCATCTACCACACCAACCAACGCCGGCTAACGACCTTGGAACTGATCGATAGCAGAGTTCCGCTACCGAATGCACCCTGTTTCTAGAGAAGAAGGAAAAAAATATGGCGTTTGTTGATCCGGGCCGCCTGGAATCCTTCAGTGTCCGGGTCGTTCTCTTCTTTGTGTTGAAAACGGCGCGCCCGGCGGCTGGAGAATTCTGCCCATCATTGCCCAAGTCGATCTTCTAAGCCCCCAAGTCTGTAAAGCGGGACGGGGGCCACACACGCAATCTTTGGCGGTTTGGAGTGATCGGCGGGCCGGCCGGTCAATCGCTCGCTCGCTTCACGGCGCTGGCCGTCTGGGGGAATGCCACGGTAGACGGGTGTTTCCCACTGTGGTTGCAGATCTCCGAAGCCGAATGGTACCACCGAGCAAGTTTTTCTGCTGTCCGCTGTGCAAACCGGCTCGTGATGTGGGCGGCACGGATATGAGCGGGCGGAAATGGAATGCCTTCTTCAGGAGACTGAACGTCTTCAATGCGACACTGATACCATTTTGGTCCATTGAGTGCGAATTATTATTTCTTTCCTTTTTTTTTCCTCTCTTGGTGTTTGGTCCTGTCGGCTCGGCTGCCCCCTATCTGTTCTCTATAGTGTCGCAATATCAAGTTTTGGCGTTGCAGAATGGAAGACGTGCATCTGCCGGGGTTGCGGGCAGTGCCGTGAAAGTTAATCGTTGTTGTGTTGGCGATTCCCGGTCGGCCACGGAGCGATGGCAGTAGCAACGACAGGGATCCTTGACTTTGGACGACGAGAATGGAACACTCAAACTTTTCCTGCTTTCTTGGTAGGTGGCGATGGAAAAGTTGACAATGCGGGAATCAAGATGGTGGCATTGTATGCATACTTTACTTTACGCCGGGTTGCGTTCTCGCCAGGGTGATGTTGTAGCCATCGGCAACAACCACATCTGGAACTCGTTTGAAGACCCCAAACCCTCAACAAAAGTCGAGCGGCGCTTTGGGTTGTTACCTACAACAGGGGCTATTTTGGGCGATCAATCCTTCCAACGCCAAACAGTGAGATTAATTATGTAAGAGTTAAAGCGTCTGAGGGTTAGGCTTCCGGGTAGGCGAAAAGGTTGATCAGTCCGTTGTCATCGGAGGACACAGACTTTCTCGTACACGGGTCCGCGGGAGCTAGCTGATGGCGATGAAAACTCTGCCGTTACGGTTTGCATTTGCTGGGGGATGTTTCAGGAGCACGAGTGAAGCTTGAGCTTGCCTTGCTCTTGCTCTTGCGGCCAACTGCTCGGCGCCGATGAGCTTTCCCGGACAGGATGGGCACGGGGCGCCGGTCGGGCGGTTTCTCATCGGACAGGTCCAGGCGGCGCTGCAGGTCCAAACGAGCCGGCGGACCGGTCGAGCGGTGCGACGCCCGAAGGAAGCGAGCTGCATGTCTGTGAGATTAACGAATACGACAAGCCTGCTTCCGTCCGCGCGGCGGATTCTCTGCGTAGGTAGTTGTTGTCAGATGAGAATACCGGGCCGATGTGCCCGGGCTCCGGCCGGAGCCCGAAATAGTGATGCTTGAGCAGACCCACACACGGCCCATCCACCGGTCCAAGACCGGAGCATAACGGTGTGTCTAGGCATGTAGATCGTTCAAGTATTGGTGCTCTTGTTTGAAGTTGCCCGTGTAAGCTGCAGGGCTCACAATTGCACCGTAGTTGAAGCGTATTGATGCTAGAGACCAACGGCTCCAAAATGAACACATGGAAGCGCCCTCCTTACCTGCAAGGGTGAAGAAGGTCGACATATAAAGCCACATTTTCCACTCTCTCTTATAGTTCAGCAGCAATTCAGCGGCTATTTCGCCAAACATCGGCAACTTGATGGGTCAGTCAAACCAGCCATAGGAGGCAATCACCACGATGCGTTCGGTGAGTCTCTTACGGGAATGCGTAGAGGAGATGTCAGTTGACATAGTTATTCGAATCAGCCAATTCATGGCATTATTGACACCATCCTCACACATGTAGATACAGGACTCACTGGGCTCTGGTGTTGTCTGTCAGAATCCACAGACAATGATAAGATACACTCGGCTTTCAAAGTTAACGTGACGTTTGGTCAAAGCACACAACGAATCCTCCAAGTATGTCGGTAAAATAGACAGCAAGACACACCGTCTTGAGAATTTCTGTGTCTATTCTCCAGCATCATGAGCATACTTTTACAACCTAGACTTGAATCTCGTATGAGTTGAAGTCCACGATATCTTTAGGAAGATTTTCATGCTGAACAGGTAGTGAGCCGCACCGGATGACCCAAGTCTTGCGCCCCGTTACTTGGTGATGTGAAATACATGCTACTTCCCAGGCTTTGAAGTGGTATGGTTGGTGAGGTTCCTGGTGGTTCGTTCAACATCTTAGCTTGTGTAACCACGAGACGAAGGGGTTTGTGGGTTGCCTTTGCTCAATGGGTCGAGGCTGAGATCTTTCGCGTATTGGCCGAGATGAACTCGAGGCTAAAATGACTATAAATTAGTGCTGTAAACAAACTCAAAAGCCCATCGTGGATGATCTCGGGAGTGATTCTGGAGCAAGAGTGATTGTCGGTACGAAGTGCCTCACGTGTAACGTACATTAGCAGCCGGGATGGGACATTCAAGACTCAGTGACTCTCATGCGTTCATCCAGCAGTGTTGAATCTAACGTTGAGTTGCTGTGCAATAGAGGCACCGAATGCGTCGATGACACGCTGCAGCGAGTCCAAAACACCACTGGAGGGTCGTGGGCGTCAGCTCAGCGAGACTCCTGTTGCCAGGTCAGAAAGACCATATTTGTGCTCAGATATCTTGGAACTCCGGAAATGCAACTATGGTCTACTGTCACTCTCTATTGATAATGTTAGCATGGTATACTCTAGGAGACCGCCTATTTTCCCTGTGCTAGAGTGACTACTTTTCCTGTGGCGACATATACTACTTTACTTTGGTTGTCATTGTCGATAAGAGTAGCTAAGTGTGCGGGAAAGGTAGTCACTCTTGCACAAGAAAATTAGCCGGTCTCTACCTTACTCTGGGATAAGATATGGGCCGTGGCTTAGCAAGCGCTCGTCTCGTCGGTTATGGCTTGAGGCGGAGCCGTGGTCCGTGATGAGAACCATTAATCGAGGGCGCCCAATTGTGAAAAACAACGGCTCAAAGTATACATAAACATCGAACAATATAAATCCAAGCGGTGGACAACTATAGATGGTGAATATACCAGGAAAATACCGGCTGGCCACTGGCAGTAAGGACGTGCATAAACAACCCCTTTAGAGATAGTACCTAGCCAGCGCTTACCTGGGTAGCTGCTCCCCGTGTGAGCGAAACCTCACCCAAAACTTGCCCAAGACTGGATCTAGCCGCCCTCGCTCCTTCCTTGAGAGCAACAGCTCCTTCCTTCAACTATCACAGCCCCACTACTTCTCACCTTCCTCACTCCCATGGTATTTGGTCAACTTTCGGCTCAAGTTCTTTCAACCAGTTCAGCGTAAACGGCGTGACCCAGTTGGTAAAATCACACGTTCAAACAAATTCCTCCTATAGGTTTCTGGTAATCCTGGAGGGGCGCCGTTCGATTCTCGTCACACGAGGTTGGGGCCTAGAGGATGGGACACGAGGTCCCATTTTTGTTTTTTACTTTTCTTGAAACTAAATGTACTGATGCTTTTTTATCACGAGACATAGAGGAGCGAGCATCTGGCCGGCAACTTTGTGCGCAGAACAGGAGTTTGAAGCCATCGCAATGTAAACAGCCATGAAGTTGCAGACCGCACCCATGTACCTCGGTGCCTTTCAACCCGCGCATAGCCGGCCGCAGCTTATCTTATCGATAAGACATCGGCCCCACGTCGGACATGGAGCAATGACGAACTTCACATTCCCATCAGGGTGTTCCTTAGCGGGTAGGTTAGTCCCCTCATCCATTCCCCAGCCAGGTCCGCCCGCCGCCCGTCGCAGCGTTGCGCCTCGAAACCGAGCCGGGCAAAGCACGAGACCAACACCACCTACCGCCAAACACACTCCCGATCGCCGCCCGATCACCGACGACGTCCGTTCCTCTGCATACACACACGACAACGCTCCCTTTGTTTTCTTTTCGCGCATCCCACGTCTTCTGTCATCGTGCATACAATACAACAAGAGTTCCCAATCGCCGCCGAAACCTGTCGAGATGGGCGGCAACGCAAGTAAAGTCACCGCCCAGGACAAGTAAGTCTTCCTTCCCCTACCTTCACGACCAATGTGCGCAGCGTCGCAGATTTCATGCGCCGCCTCTGTGCACCCCTTGAAAAGTCTCCGCAATACCGCAATACTGACGCGCATCCTGCCGCAGGGCAATCCTCGACATGAAGCTCCAACGCGACAAGCTCCACCAGTATCAGCGCCGCATCACTGTCCTGACAGATAAGGAAACCGCCATCGCGAAGCAGATGCTCGCAAAGGGCGACAAGCCACGCGCCCTCCTCGCCCTCCGCCGCAAAAAGTACCAGGAGTCCCTCCTCCAAAAGACGGACGCTCAGCTCGAGCAGCTCGAGAAGCTCACCTCCTCCGTCGAGTTTGCCATGATCCAAAAGGATGTCGTCTTTGGCCTGCAGCAGGGTACCAAGGTCCTGAAGGAGATACACTCCGAGATGGGCGGCATTGAGCACGTTGAGAAGCTCATGGGTGAGACGGCCGATGCCATTGCTTACCAAAAGGTTCGTCGCTACTGCCGCCGCCGCACCCAGACCTCGGGCTCTTGGACAGCTGTAGTGGTCTGTCTAGCCGAGTACAATGCTGACGAGTCGTCTTTTTTCTCACTCACAGGAAGTCAGCGATATGCTTGGCGGTCGTATCTCGAATCAGGACGAGGAAGAGGTCGAAGACGAGCTGGCGGCTCTCGAGGCAAGCGTCGCGGCGGAGGAGGCAATCCGCAACCCTCCCAAACAACACAAGCTGCCCACGGTCCCCGACACAGAACCCGTCTTGCCCGACGAGCCAGAAGCAGAAGAAGCACAGCAGCCTGTCAGGACGAGACAGGCTATGTTGGCGTCATGACGTAGCCCACCCACGTGTTTTCGTTCTCTCTTTCTTCCCTCCCTCCTTCCTTTTGCAGTGATGAGGCGTCTATGTTCGGATTAGCATTCGTAGGCCGGTTGCATTTCATGGAGTTTGAGTACGCTCATGTTTATCCACCCGTCATCTTGCGCGGCGATGCGGCACTAGTTTAGGATGGTCGGCGCGACTGCTTTCGCTTTGCGTTTTGGATTCACCCCTCTACCTGCGTTCTTGCGCCATCATACCGAGAGGCCACATCATTATGGGCGGCGGCCATTGGATTCAGTTTCAGAGGCGCACCGCAAATGCTACCAGTATATGATATAGCGATAAGCCATTCAGGCGTTGGTATTGTGATTCTTCTTGATTCATGAATGTCTTCAGCCTCGTTGCCACGTCCGGACAACGGTAGTCCCACTGCTGCTCCTCCAATCACTGCTATTCCACAGCTATCATGTTCCGCAGGGGTATCAAAAACAGCAGCCATCTCTCTATACCTCCCACCTCTAATGCAAATGCAAATGCAAACCACTCCCAAAAGTCAGGAACCTAACCTTTCGATCCAGGTGTAAAGGCCCCAAATCCTTCATTATATGTATGCTTTCCTCCAACGCCCCACAAATGCTCACGGTTCTGGCGAGAGCTATAGATATGCTCCCGTTTCTCAGTTGTAGAGGTCGTGCTTGTGATCAGTCAAGTATGATTACATCGTCGCTTGCACGCGGCCACTGTGGCTGTCCAGGAGGTGGCGGGTATCTCTCGAATCTCTGGGGGTCGTCGACCCGTACTGTCGGTCTTGCATGCCGATGGACTGGGATACCGTATGCTCCCTGGGGTTGGTGTGGTAGATAACCACCAGTGCGTCTAATTGCATTTCGCAGTTAGTAGGTGATGAGAAATAAAACTGTATGGCGCATGACTTACGCTCCATCGTACACAGGCGAAGGTATGTGACGCTGAGCGAGTCTGTCGTTCATTGCACCCTCAAAACGTCGTCCGCCGGAAACTGGGTATGTCATATCAGCCGGAGGCATCCTCTCGGCACGCCTCACATAGATAGCCTGTCCAGGTGCTTCATGTGGTTGTTGGTACCGGCTTGGGTCTAAGGTGGATCTTAGATCGCCCAGAGAGTGTCTGCTATGTGCCATAGGGGTGGAACGACGTGGCACAATATCAGGATGCTCTCTGATCCGAAGGAAACCTTCCTCCCTAAGGCCATCCCGAGGCAAAAGGGGACGATCCTCTCTAAGGCGGATGAAGCCTTCGTCCATGGGCGCAACACGACGTTCTAGGCTAGGTCCGGCGTCACGCATGGGGCGACGGACGGACAGGATCTCCACGTCTGGGCCAAATCTGTCCCTAACACTTTCTCCAGGGCCGAGAACAATCGTCTGGGGTCGAGCATGCGGATCCTCAATCATAATGGGATTGGCTCTCGCTCCCAGTACAGCCTCATCTCTCCGCAGCGAAGGTTCGGCCTGGCGCGGAGCTTGGTAAGCTGGCAGTCGAGCAGCATCCTGTCCGAACTCGATATAAGGTGGGGCCCGAGCCGGAGGCGGGGCTCGCGGCTGTTCACGATCGTCATGGAACGGCCGAACACCGTCTGGGTAGCCCAGACTCCTCCGGCGAGGGGACAGCCGGTCTGCTTCTCGGAAGGCGGGGCCTCGGGGTGGTGATCTTCTCAGCTGGTAGGGCTGGTCATCTCCAAGATCTGCGTATTCCACCAAGGGGCGTTGATAGCGCAACGGAGGCTTGCTAGCATCAGGGGACTTGGGCTCGATCGAAGGAATAAGATAATCCTGCAGCTGACGGCTTGACGGTCCTTGAGGACCAATGGAGCCGTGGCCAGGCGTACTCCCAGATTCATTTACCTTGTGCAATGAAGAACCAGAAGCAAAATATTGAGAATCGATCGGCGGCGCAGCAAAGGAACGGTCCATGAGCGGCCTGGCCTCTCGAGAAGGATTGCTGGCAAAGGAGCCGAAGGCTGGCCTTTGCGGGTGCGCAGGGCCGAGGTCAATCACTGGCGCTCTGCCATCCATGAACACAACAGGCTGACTTTGGGAATACGTTCCGTGACTAACGGAACCGTTCACCACACCGGGCTCCTGCGGCTGAGCGTTGGACACTGCTTTCTGCCGATTCATGGCTGCGGACCATCTGGCGTTTGCGACAGCCTCGTACCTACTGAAGTTACGCTCTTTATGCTTCGCAGCACGTCTGCGATGCTTCTTGTTGACCCGTTTCTTTCCTGGCGTAGCGACTGCCTGGGGAGATCCTGGATGGGACGGCAATGCCGTCGACATGCGGCTCCGGCTGGCACGGTCTTGACGCATGGTTGGCACCGGGACTCTTGCGACATTCATGGACCTATCGGTGAGCACGGCTGATGAATCGGAATCAGGCTCCTCGCCAGAATCCTCGTCATCAGAATCATCAGATAGAACGACCACCTCTCGAAGAATTTCATCGAGTTGGTTACGTCCGTTCTCGTCATCGCCTCGCCACTTGACGAGGATGTCCAGACATAGCTGCTCTGTAGCTCTTCTGGCATTGTGCCATGATGTCTCGCGGAGGAGCTCGTCGTATCTCGTGTGGTTGTGCCGGATATGGGCGAGGACGGCGAGCTGCACGCGCCGCGAAAGCGACAGCTCCTGTTGCAACCCCACCACAAGTTCACCTTTGAACTGCTTGCCCTATGCATCCGTGAGCATCGCACGCATTTCGTGCAGTTGGCGAGCATTAACAAACCTTTCTGAATGCATGATCGATGATCTGCTGTCTGTCGGTATGCGGAATGCGAGGGAAAAGCTCGCGCAGCGCAGCATCGGCTTGCCTGTTGATTTCCGCTTGGGAGCGAGGGATCTCCTCGACTTGGTCTGGTCCTGTTGTGGTCGGTTCGTAAAAGGCATCCTGTCCCAGTTCACTCATCGCACGATCCACAATATTTTCGCGGATGTGATGACCGACTCGGTGGATCTGTTGGCTCAGCTCCGACGCGTCCTTCTTCGCGAACGTCTTTCTAACCCGTAAGTACTTAGTCTGATACCTCTCAATCCGGCAGCCTTACCACTATGTAGACAAGAGCGCCAATTTCTCTCGATATTTCCTTGCACCGCTCAGTAAGTTCCGGATTGCCCATCGGAATGTACTTCATCCCTGGCGGTGGCTGACGGTTGGCCGTGATCTGTGATTGTGGTTCAGTTTAATGCTCAGCGGCCGACGTGAATGTTCGACTCGGGCTGTACCTCGAAGAGCAGGGGCTTCTTCTTGTCTTTGTTCTCAATGAACTCGAAATAAGACTGGTGCTTTGAGTTCGTGACTGCGTTGACCGGCTTCGCGGCAACGAGTCCCGGCGGCAGGGGCACGCTCCGATCGAGGGTCTTGCTAGGTTTCCCAGCTCGTTTGTGGCGGTCCTTCGCCGTGGCCGGGCCTGGCTGAGACCTCTTCTCTCTCCCCATTTCGACGATGCACTTGTTCTTTTTATCAGCTTACCATGATGCTTGAGGGTCAAACCTCAATAACGATCCGGTAGGTAGGGAGAGTAAAAAGAAAGAAAGATGCAACAAGATGGATAGACAGTTAGTGAATGTGACGATCGAGACTTGCAATCGCTTGAAGACGAAAGTCAAGTCAACAACGTCCACGTGTGGCAGGCACAAGAGCGTACTGGGTTTGCAAGCCCTCAAAAGTTGCCGAAATGACGACAGCAAGTGGCACTTGCTGCGCGAAAGAACAACAGTAAATCACGGAGACGAAGGGTATTCAAATGTCCACTGATGGATATTTGAGCCTGCGACTCGTCAAGCAAGTTCGGCAAGAGCAACTCGCACTTGGTGGAGGTAGGCGCAGGTGCAAAAGATGAGATGCGATGCGACACGGTGCTTGAATGCTCGAAGTGCATGAGCATACGCCGCCAGGGCTGGGGGCGAGGTCAGTTGTTCCGGAACAAGAGATGGGATGCAAAGCCGCCCAACGCGATCCTGGTCGGGTTGCAACTTACCTAAGGCAGGGCAGGCTGCGTGACGTCGGGTCGAGTGTTATCTTCACGTGCTGATAGTGGCGGGGCACGGTGCACGGCCCCGCAAGAGAGGCAGGGGCCGGCACTTGGCTGCAGCATACACCGAGCAGGTGAAGAAAGCATGTCACTCTCACCGAAACGCCATGCGCAGTCCGAACTCCCCACGAATGAACTGGGCAAGGAATCCGAGGTTGTTTCAAACTCAAACCATAGCTTCTAAGACGTAATGAACTCCTCTTGCGGATCAATGAGGGCATCACGATCACGGCGTGGCTGAATGACGAGGTGCATCATGCTGAAAATCGTCGTTTGTTTGCGTTGCAAGTCCAATCTACGAACTAAACTATCGTCCGTGAAGTCGTCCCGTATACCTTAAATATTGTTTGTTTGTTAATAGACCTTGGTCCTGTGGCTCCATCCTGAGCACTGAGCCAAAACGCCGCCGCCCTTTCCTCGATGCAGCCGTCAATGTTTCCGACGCGGTTGTCGCCATGTATTTCATTACATAAGTCACTTAGTTATCATCGAGCGAATTGACGTGCTTCTTCATGAATTCGAAGGCAGAGAAAAAGATAGCGTTCACAGCACATGAGCGTCCCATGGATACTCCAAGACCGCGGTACATGTGTTTTTTGAAGAATTCAATCTTCGGTGGCGGCTCAACTTGCTGGCCCTTGGAGTACAAGAGAGAGTTTCGTTGGTAGATGCTCTTTGCCGAGTCAATGGGATCTGGCACAGTTAGCGTTCCGCAAATACGTCGTTGCGACAAAACAATTCCATACAGATCATTGCCCAGGACACTATCCCGCAAAGCCCACCCGAGACCACGACTGCTAGTTTGTTAGTGGTGGGGTGGTCGCCGCCAAACGTAGTCCCGAGCTGTTTGCCGCTCTCGTAGACCATGAAGTATATGGCCGTCCCCAAGGTATCTCGCACTAAGACGGGTCAGCTGAGGGATGGATGGGGTTGTACGCCTGGGCAGACTTACACAAGTGCAAGTTGAAGCCAGTGTAGAGCCCCAAAGCACCCCGGTGGCGAATAATGTTCGACATGGTCTTGAATGTGCCCTTATTCTGGTAGCTGGCCGCAACCTGGTGGCCATTGGTAGCCCGACAATTGGCCTCGGCGAGCTTCTTCTGGTCAGACAATAAGACCGATACCTGGGCGCTGAGTTTCGTCAATTCGAAAGGGCAAGCAAGAAGCGTGATGCAGGAGCCGGCAGAGGCACCGGCAGCCCCAAAGCAGGCTATGGAATAGAGGTTTGGATAGGTGCCCTGCTTGTTGACGTGCTGCAGTACGTCAAACCCGCAGGCTTGCTTGATCCAGCCAGAGTACGTGTATTTGGCGCGCTGGTAAATCGAGAAGGAAATGGTTCGCACAAGAGTAACGCTGGCCATCGGGGCCAGGACGCCTGTTTAGGGGGCAAAAAAGGTTAGTGTCATTGAGTACGCGAGTCGAGATGAGGGGTCGTGGTTGTGTGGGTGTGGGTGTGAGAGTGCATGCAGAGCAAGTAGTGGAGGTGCGTACCCCGAAAGAAGCCTTTCAGCTTCTCAGTGCGATAAGTGTGCCTCACGCAATCGAGGAATCCTTCATATCTGTAGGTTTGCATTCGCGTTTTCACGCTATCGAGGGGGAAGGCGACGACGGTCGAGAACATGCTCGACGTGCTTGCAGCGATTTCGGTTCGGTACCGCTTGACCAGCCTCTGCGGGCGCTCTTCTTGAGCTCGAGGCATGATCGCAGTCGGTTGGAGGACCGGAACATGGTGTCTTGGATGGTATTCGACTTCTGTCGCGGGCATGCTTTCCAGCAATGGCGGCTCGGCAGCGCCTTTAGACGGTGATCTCGCGAGAGATCAAAGTCCTCAGCGCGGTCGCGATACGGCACGGTGCCAGCGGCGATGGGTCCATCCAGACCGTATTCGGTGGGCGTTTGTCGACGGTGGAGAGGGTTGGGTGTTTCGAGGGTTTCGGTAAAGGAGAGACGAGTTCGAGATCGAGCACGAGGAAGATGAACCGGTGGTTGGGACGCGAGCAGTACGAATTTAAGGATGGTTTGGGGATCGAAGGCTGAACCCCCGGAGAATGACGCTGTCGTGCCCGCTAACCATGGGAGATTTGCGGGTTAAGTTGAGAGGAGGGAAGTAGAGCGAGAGAGTTGAGGGCTGGCGTCAACTACTTTGTAAAAGCAACTGGCACCTTGGGACTGCGGGGTCGGCAATGGAATGAGTGCACGACGTGGGAGAGGCAAGGTTCATGTACTTGGACCTGCCCAGCACCAGTTCCCTCCCTCCTTGCGTCGCAGCTGCGTCGTTCCTCGTGGTTGTCGAGGTACCGTCACAGCGCTGAATGCTTGTGGAGGTACAAAACTCCACCGAGATGCGCCTGTGAGGTGAGGTTGATGCAGCGCGTCCATCCGGCAGGCCCAGCTGGAGCTCCAAAGCCTGGGCCATTCGTGGTGAGGTGCGGAAAGCTGCACCTGGGAGGCCCCTTTTGCCCCGCTCAGAGACATCCAAAACAGCGCCTGATTGGCATCTCCAGGTCAAGGTAGGTAGGGAGCAGTGTAGTGGTGAGGACATCTGATGGTCATTGAGCCCAGGTGGTGGTTGCGGGCTTTCATTGTACCGCAGTAGCAGCAGCATCGACAGCCAGGGAGAACACTGCGAAGCAAGTATCCGCTACAACGAGGACAGGGGGGTCCATTGGATCTCCAGCGATCCTGCCTCTCTCATTTGCTCGGGCTGTCGATACCTAGCGGCCGCTAACACTAAACAGCCCGGCCGCCCCTCACTGGACCGTTGTACCGTTTGTCGACCCACCGTCACAAGCCAGAGAAACCATACTGTCACTCACAATGTGAGGTACTGCAAGACGGTGTGTGAGAGAAGAAGGCTACATTCCAAGTGGACTCTATGGACTCAACTTGATGCTGTTTCGAGGACTTGCGTCGCTCACCTTGAACGGAGGCTCGGTCGACCACCTTACGACAACGAACGGGTCCAACGCAGTGTGTCGGCGGTTTCACGGAGCCATGTCCATTGTTTTGGCCGTCCTCCCGGAATAACAGCCGACGAGGGTCGTTATTTTTGTATTTGTCCGGACGATCTGGAGATAGTCAAAACACAAACAGGACCACTTCAGCACCACCTTCCAGCGTCCCCGGCCAAGGGATCCGACACGGCGCGACGGCCGAGACTTCTTGGCTCCGACACGGAGCTGATAGCGTCGCCTCAGCTCCCCAGCTTCTCCAATTCCCAACCCAGTCAGTCCCTTGTGCTATTCCGAATGCCCAGTAACACAGTGTACCTACCTTATCTCAGCACCCAAATCTGACTTTCTCTCGGTCTGTCCCCCAACCCTTCCATTGGGGGCAACTCCCACCACGCACAACAACGTTGCTCCCAGCGAACCGCAGTCCTCGGATTACACAACACGTTTAGACACCACACACGTCTCCCCCTCATCGCACGCCGTCATCTTTGGCCTTTTTTGGGCATCTCAAAGCAGGCTTCCATATTAAGAGGCGAGATCAGATCAGATCAGCTCAGGAACGGCAAGAATCAGCACCTAACGGGCGCCGGCAGCGGTTCGGCGACAAATTGCTGGACTACCTCATGCGACCTTGGAGAGTCATGTTCGGTCGTGCCAAATAACCCACCACCACCCCAATCCCAACTGCATCCCTAGCCGCTCATCCCCTCCCTGCCCTACATTACCCTCCATGACGAAGGAGAGCCCTCGATGGCTCCAAAAGGGCTGCCGCCTCCATCTCGCAGAAGTGCTCAACCAACCGTGTGTGAGCCGTTGAGTTTGCGGACCCCACGCGCCTGCAGATCGCTCGGGTCTGCAAAGTCGCACCAGCGATCTTCTCGCGAGGGTGTCGGTTCCTCCAATGGGTTACCATCGGATATTGAGGATTGGCTGCACCTTCGCCCGGAGCCGTCATATTTCCCTCCCGTCTTGCCGTCTTTCGACCATGACGCCACAACAAGTTGCGCTTTTTTGGGGTCTCTGCATCAAAGGCTGGTCTGATGAGCCTGCCTCGACGAGCCGTCCAAGCATCGTGCGTATGCTGTGAAACCAGTAAAATTCGTCTTCCGGCGACAGTCCGACATGTTTGTCGGGCCAAGCTTGACTTGCCTCCAGGGAGTGGTGAGTGGCATGTCGGCGTTCTCGCCTGTGCGATCATACTTCCGAGTAAAGAAGAGACAGTCCACGCCATGCCATTAAACAGGACCACAGCGCAAGGCCAAACCCATTGACTTGTTCAACATGGCCAGTGTAATGTCAAAGTGGTGGTAAAAGGTGGTTGTAAACTCTTCAGTGGCCTGTACCCTAAACTCAAAGAATCAGCATCCATATCACACGCACTCGATCGCAATGGATATTCACATGGGCTTATGTTTCCTATCCTTATCCTTCTGGTAATTCGCCCTCCACAGTTTCTTCTTGTAACGCTCACATGCAACGTTGATGAGATTCTTGAGGATCTTGTGCTCAAGTCCCCTGTCCTGGGCCGCGTTTTGTAGAAACCAGTTCGTCCTCTGGCATACCTGATGGTTCAATTTTCCGTCCTTCTCTCGGAAGGCCGCCCTTAGCTGGTCGCGGACGACGTATCGAGCTGGCGCCGAGAATTGAACGGCTCGGAGGGCGTTGCGATACAGAATCCTATACCAGAGACGGGCCTTGGCGTTCTGGACTGACGCCATCTTGAGATCACTTCCAAAGTGCTCAGGTGAGGTCTAAGTGAAAATTAATTGAAGGCAATGTAACCGGGGCATGAACGTGAAGGAGATGAAGAATCTAGTTGAAGCTCCTGACTGGTCTGGCGTTCCGGTGTGTGCACGGGCCACTTCGAGATTTCCACCTCGCATGCACTCTGATCCGACCTCACCCAAAAAATTCCATCACGACCACCAGAGCGTCATTCGGTGCAAATCCACGCCCTCTGCCACCACACAAAGCCATCGCCATGGCGCCCCGACTGCCCCCGAGCTGTCTCCAGCTCCTCCGAACCGGGTCGTCCACGACATCCAATGCCGCGCTCGCCGGCCCCCGCCTCCACCTGCTCCCTTTCACCGCGAAGCGAGGTGTAAAGTACGGCTGGTCGACCGCTCCCCCTCGCAGCAAGCCAGCCCGCTTCAATCAGCCGACGGCCGGTCTCCCCGCCCTCACCACCGGTCCCGCCGCCGCCCTCGCTCGCCGCGAGAAGACGACTCCTCTCCGCACCGGCGCCCTCGCGATCAAAAAGGGCATGACCGCCATCTACTACGGCAAGAAGCGCGTCGCCTGCACCGTCCTCCAGCTCGATCAGGTCCAGGTCGTCGCCAACAAGACACGTGAGAAGAACGGTTACTGGGCCGTTCAGATCGGCCTGGGCACCAAGGAACCCCGCAACGTGGACAGGCCGATGCTGGGATACTACGAGGCGAAGGGCATCGCGCCCAAGCGCCACCTCGCCGAGTTCAAGGTCCGCGATGAGAAGGGTCTGCTGCCCGTCGGCTCACAGCTGTTCCCGGACTGGTTCCAGACGGGCCAGTACGTCGATGTGCGCTCCAACTCCCGGGGCATGGGTTTCGCCGGTGGTATGAAGCGCCACGGCTTCGCTGGACAGGAAGCATCGCACGGTAACTCCAAGAACCACCGTACCATCGGTACCACCGGTCCCTCGCAAGGCTCCGGTTCCAGAGTCATGCCGGGCAAGAAGATGCCTGGAAGGATGGGTAACGAGCGGGTGACGGTGCAGAATCTGACGGTGCTGAAGGTGGACAACGAGTTGGGCGTCGTGCTCGTCAAGGGTGCTGTTGGAGGACCCAAGAACTGTCTCGTGCAGATCCAGGATGCGAAGAAGAGGAAGGCGCCGGCATTGCCGTATCGCAAGGAGAAGCTATTGGAGTTGTTGAAGAGCAAGCCGGAGAACAAGGCGAGACTGCAGCAGGCAAGGGAAAGGCACCTGCAACTTAAGGAGATCAGGAACTCAACATTCGTGTAAAGAGTGTTTTCCCATTTTAACCGTTGATGGTATGAGTCCGTGTACTATACATATTGTACATTTACAACCCCCTACGAGGCGCATGACTGGGCGGCTCTCTTCGCCCGAATATCCCAATGACCACCACCTGCTACCGCACTTTTTGACAGCCCATTCCTCGATTCCCTCGCATGACCACTGCCTCGCCCCTTATTTGATGTTCTGCCTAAAGCCTCTCGTCGCCGCCGACGCAGGCTCGTCCAAATCGTCGTCCAGATCCCCACCAACGATGCCCCGGAACGGATCGGCGCCGTCCAGCAGGTCGACCTTGCGGCCGTCGGGCGTCTCCAGGCTCCACTCTGTCGTCTCGAACAAGCCCTTGTGCGACGTCCGGAAGCTGGCAAACTTCATGACGGCCTCGCCCTTGGTGCCCTTGACGCTGAAGCTGATGTCGATGCGTCCGTGCAGCTGGTTCATCTCGCCCGAGATCCACGGGATCTGGTGCTTGAAGTAGACCTCGTCGCCGAGCAGCTCGCGGGCCCGCGGGTTGGTGCGCAGGGCGTACATTGTCGATGCGATCACGGGCGACGACGACTTCTGGTAGTTGAAGATTGCGACGCTGGAGAGGACGATGGCGGCGGCAAAGATGGGGAGCGAGCGGGACCAGCGGAAGGTGATTTGGTTGATATCTACATATAATTACATCGCGACCGTCAGCGCTCTGGGCCAGCAGTAGACAAGCAGGCAGGCGAAGTCAAGGAAGTGAGAGGGAGAGCTTACCAGGAAGCTCTCTATCAGCCCGCCTCTCCATCAAGGGCCCTGATCCCGGCTTCGGCGCCGCAGTTGCCCATCTCCGTTGTGTCTGGTTCCTGAGTTGTGACTGTGGTCGTGCAGCAGCGTTGCGCAGCGAAGAGGCGAGCCGCCTCGTTACTGTTCTTGAAAGCATGTCTGGCAAACTGTATGAACCCTAGCTGTTGCCCAGGAAGTTCCAGATGTCGGGGTCGTGGCGGGACGTTCGTGGTGGTTTGCGACAAAAACTCAGAAAAGACTCCCCGAATCAGGTCATGGAGTTCGCAGCGGTCGGCTTCAGTAGTGGGCGGGCCCAGGCCTAGCTCTGACGCCCCCAATCTTCTGGGCAGGGTCCTCCGCGCAGAGGGGGGGAAAATGAGAGCACCCTTCCCCCAAAAAAGCCTTGCTGAGCTTCGTCCAATCAATTTACGATACGCATCCATGTCCGCATGGCCATTCGGCGCGCGTCATAAGGCTGAGTTGTCATTGCTCTGCGCTGAAGGTTGCCTTTGAAAGCTCCTGCTTGCATTTAGCTGTTTCTTTCCCCTCCTAATTCGCCCGCCTGGTGATATATCTCACCACCACGTTTCCCTTTGCGACGACGGACAAAACACCAGAAAAATACAACGTGGACATCGCGCAAAGCTTCGCGACCGTAACGATACCACTTACAAAACATCACAACCGCACAAAACCCCATCTAGATGGCAGAATCCAGGGGCGCCGGCGCCCGTCTGCGGCGCACATTCCACTACCCCACGGACGACGATTCAGCAGATTCGCAACCCGAAGCCATGGACGAAGAAGGTAAGCGACCACCACCTCCAAACCTCGCCGTCAAATGGCACGGATTGCTGACCTCTGCCCGAACAGAGCAGGAGCAGCTCATCCAGCAACTAGCGGACGACAACGCCGCTCGCAACGCCCAGTTCCGCACCTTTCTCCTCGTCCTGCCGATCCTCACGACGATCCCGTACCTCATCTCGCTATTGCGCCTGACGTCCATGATGGCCTCCCTCCTATCCATCACCTCCCTCTTGTCAACGGCTTACCTCTTACACACCCAGGCGCCAGGAGAGACGGGCATCACCTTTATTGACGCCTGGTCTAGGCCCAAGACGCCGCACACAAGCCCCTCCTCCTCGCTCGAGTCCTCTGTCTCCTCGGTCTCCGGGAGCTCCTCCCAGTATCAGCCCGGCCCTTCGACCACCACGCGTCGGCGCAGACGGAGCTCCTTCTCTTTCACCGAGCAGCACAAGTCCCCTCTGGAGCAGTACCTCCCGTACCTCAACTTGGGCCTCTGCGCGATGCTAGTTTTGACGGGTATGGTGACCAAGTCCGGCGAGAGGGATACCTTCGGGCACGTCGGGCTGGGAAACCTACCTGCGATTGTGTACATAGTCATCATTCTCGCAAAGGTGGTCATGGCCAGCGTCGACCCTGAAAAGGAATTAAGCGCGCTCAAGTATGGTTACAAGGGCGCCTGAGCAGATGCTAACAAAACGGGGGATGGATTTTCACGAATAATGCCAGATTGATGACCTGTAGTCGCTTAAAGCGTGTAATGATTGGGAATCGGAGTTCGGCCAGGAACTGCTCATCAGGGCAGAGCGCGCAAGTCTATTTTCTGAACGACGCGTAATTACAAGACTCTTAAAATATCTATGAAGGCATTACACGTCGATGGACTCATTGAAGCGCAAAACACCATGACTTTTCAGCACACCGTCCACCCCCTTAGGCAACCTCGGGAATGGGTCAGAGAGGATGTTGTTATTTGAAGGGTCCAGCGACTTGTCCGTGACGAGCGCCAGTCCATGTGACTTGATGGCATCAACCAAAGCAGGGACCATTTCCTGGATATTGTTAGCGGGCAATGTCAAAGCATCCAAGGAAACGAGCGTTACACACCAATAGTCTTGAGCAGCAAATCAAACCCATGAAGTTATTGCTCTGCGCAATCCTGACAACCTCCTTGATCGACGCAGACCTGCGTCCATGGCTCTGAATAATGTCTGGTGGAGACATTGAGTCTTCCCGGCCAAGATCGTTACACAAGAAAACTGGGAAGTTTGGTTGCTTCCAGTTGAGTGCCGTACAGAGACTTGGGTTGTATGAGCTGAAGACAACAGACCGGACCGACTCGAGGGACTGGGCTCTTTGGGCGCGCGCATGATCGAACACAATCGTAAGCAAGGAGTCGACGAATGTGTTGAGATCCTGCGACGGCCCAAGGCCCTGGGTCCGCTCCTCTTCCGGCGTTGGGTAGAGGACCTGGATATTGACATGCATTCCGTGGGGAAGCAAAGCCAATGCCTCGTTGAGAGGAATGCCTGCCGTGGCCAGAACACGATGGACATCAGCGATCGCGTCCAGTGGCTTCGACGGCAGCGAGGACAGCTCGTCTCGGCTTGGGCTTTTAGACGTGATGGTGTTGAATTGCTCCATCGTTAACCTCGAGATTGGCAAATCTATTCCGCCGCATGGGATTGTCCACCTAGGCCACAAGACTGGTACCCCATCGCTGGTGTGCTGGACAAACAACCGAACAAAGTCTCCAGACAGACTCGAGCCCGTCACAAATGTGCTTGGGCTGCGGTCAAACTGACTTGTTGCCTTCCAATACGTCTCGAAATCGGTGATCTCCAGCGGCTTTCCATTGAAGGGTTTAATGACCTGCGTGTGGAAGCTGATCTGACCGATTGCGCGCAGTCTGGGGTCGAACAAAGGCAGACAGCATTTTCCGGAGCTGCTGAGCAGCGCCTTGAACGTATTCGGGAGTGCCACCGTCTTGGCAATGATCTTCGCGCCATAGGTCGGAAAGACGTCGAAGTCCAGGGTAAAGGACTCGAGGTTATCAATTTGAAAGGAAACGAGCCGGGTATCTTCTTGGAAAGGCAGCATGATGTTCTTGGGAATGAGATCAGAAACCTTGGACGAGATGGTGAGGCGTGCAGCGGGATATTTGCCATCGTGGAAGAACACCAGCGGCTGGTCCCCGTTCTCTTCGAAGCTAATTTGAATGACAGTCTTTGTGTCCAGGAAGTTATGTCCGTAGCGGCGCAGCGGTATTATGGGCGGTGGGAGCTCAAGTTCGGGGATGGCGTCGGGATCGAGGGCCATCGGCTCAGGTCCACTGCTCGTCAGCATTGGAACTAAACTTCCGGAATGTGTAACCATCGGGCTTGGTTTTGTCCTCGCGTTGTAGGGAGTCAGTAGCTTCATACACTCCAAATGGCCTTCCCAGGCTGCGTAGTACATTGCCGGCAGGTCTTTTTCGTCGACGATGTTTGGATCGGCTCCAACTTCCAAGAGAGCATGTAGGCACGGCACGTTGCCTTCGCTCGCAGCATGAACCAGCGGTGTCCATCCATATAGCTTGTCAATCTGATCGAGGTTTGCGCCGTAGTTCTTCAGCAAAAGCAAGAGCTCTGGCCGTTGCCCGGACCGAGCAACAAGATGTTGGGGATAGAGTCCTTCGGCGTCGGGGAGGATCTGTGCCCCATGCTTGAGCAGCAATTCCACGATTGCCAGCGAACCGTGCTCGCATGCAAGATTAAGTGGTACATGGTCTGCGTCGGACACTGGGTCGATGCGGGCGGACTTCACCAGAAGTCGTTCAACACACTGCAGATGTCCGTGGATTATCGAGTGTACAAGCGGCGTAAAGTTGTCGTGGTCGATCAGATCAATCGTTTGGGCATTCGCTGCAACCCAAGATTAGCAAACTCGCCCACGGGCACAAGCTCAACTTCTTCAACTTACCAGTGGAGAGAGCATCGAGCATGTCCAAGCGGCCATGCATGCTGGCGTAATGCAAAGGGACCCTGCCATACACGTCGGTACGGTCGACGGCAACGCCTTTAGTGATGCCATACTCGAGAACGAAATTGTTTCCGTAGATGGCAGCTTGGTGTAGGCAATTCCTCTCGTTGATGTCATCTTCCGACTGAATGTCAACCAAGCCCGTTTCAAGTAGAACCTGCAGGGTTTCCTTCGGTGCTTCATGGATTGCTGCAAGAAAAGTCCTGGTAATTCTTTCCATCAGAGAGAGTTCGGATCCTGAGGACGAACCAGCCGCCGCAGACCGCATCCGAACGAGCAGATCTCTCAACGCCTCCAGGTTCCCGGAGATTACGGTATCAAGCAGCAGCGTGTCGGCATCGCCCTCGTCGGTCCCAAGCAGATGTTGACTGCTCACGATGTGGTCATTTCGGGGTTCAAAGGTGACATGGTCTCCCTCGGCCCAAGCTCCGAGCTCTTGTAGGCTGGTCGTCGCCTGGTCGGAGAGCTCGCTAATGACGGTGGCATTGAAGAAGGGCTGAACTTCCACCGCCCTGGAGAGGTAGAGTTCCTTGGTTTTGGACTTCGATGTCTTGTCCCACTTTTTGAGGATTTTGGAGAAGGCGGTACCGTTGATCTCAACAAACTGCTGGAGCTTGTTCAGGTCACTAGCGAACTGTTGGAAGCCCTCTTCGAGCGTGGTGAACTTGGCTGATCGTCTGGAAACGCCATTACGCGACTGCAACACCTTTTTCTTGTCGAGAAGAGTCTTCAAGCGGACCTTGAGCTAATAAGGGGTTAAGACAAGTCGAGCGAGACATTGCAGACAAAGGAAAACAAGTGCATACCTCGGCCTCCTTTTGCAAATAGAAGGCATTGACCTTTTCGAGCTCTCGTTCCTGTTCAAGAGTTAGCAGGTATGGTGGGATATTCATTGCACTGACCCATGGTCGAGACTTACCAGTTGGAAGAAGAAGGTGGCCTTGTTGGCCTGAAGAGCAGCCTGGGAGTCTATAGATATTGCGGAGCGCAGAGGATCAATTTGTGCGCTCAACGTGGGCGTAGCCGACAGCTTCTTGATCAGCTAGAATACGGCCCGGTGTCAGTTGCAATGCCGTGTGTTATTTGGTTAATGTCATGGGGGGTTGCTCCATCCCCTAACCCCTGAGGGGGTGGTTTTGGGTACCGAGTGACTAAGTCCTCGGAGGGTGCTCTGCATTTTTTTCTGTGGTCTCTTCACCACGCGCCGCCCAAAGCGGATGAGCACCGGGGATGAGATCGAAGAAACAGATTTGGGTTCCCTGAAATGTCTTCACATACCTTCTTGAGAGCCTTGTAGTTGACGAAACTTGCGGCATACTCTGGGACCTCAAGCTGACGCTTCTGAATTTGCTTGCCGAACTTCCTGTATAGATGTCAGCGTACGCCTGCGCCAGTGCCTTGAGCACTTATAAGACGGGCTGCAGAAGAACTCATGGACGAGACTCACATGATGGACGGACGTCCGTGAGATCACGGCGTCCAAAGGCGATGGAATGCGCTTGAACAGCAACGATATGCTATCACTCCAGTACTTGCAAGCCGGAGGTAGTAGTCTGCAGGCGGATGTATGCAGAATGACAGAAAAGAGCTCTGCCAACTTGCGTCTGTCGCCGCGGCAGGCAAGGTGGGTGACTGCCACAAGGATGTACTGGGTGACGTCGACGGGCGGCAACAGTGTCTTGGACACGGCTGAAAGAAGGATCAGATTCGCACGTGGGGGCTCTTGGGTGGCGTGAGTTGCTTGTGGGAAGAGAAGACCGCTCAAGGTGTTGGTTGCCCTGGGTGTTCTCTTGCAGGCTGGAATGATGAGACCCGTGGGAGAGCAGGATGGAGCGACAGTCGAGACCAAGTATAGACTCAACTCGAAGAAGACTAGAAGCTGTTGATTGAGTCAGAAAACAGATCTCTCAAACGAATAAACAGAACATAAGCATTCGGGGGTGGTGTTCTGTCCCGCAGCGAGCTGGCCGCTTGGCCCATACAGGTACGAAGTAACTGGAGCTCTGGACTTCGGAACATGCGCGGGAGGAGAAGGACCCCTGAAGAGGTATCCATACAGAGAGAACAACTCAGGCTGCGTAAGACGCCTCAAGCGAGCGAGAATGGAGATGTTGGTGGGGGCTAGGCTGAAGCTATCCCGGGCGTGCCTCGGTGCTCGGTGACTGCTATGTTGAGGTGCAAGAAGGGGGGGGGGGGGGGGGGGCCTGCCCACCCCAAANGGGGGGGGGGGGGGGGGGGGGGGGGGGGGGGGGGGGGGGGGGGGGGGGGGGGGGGGGGCCTGTCCAACGCATAGAGCATGGCATGGGTATGGCCAGATGTAATGTATGGGAGCAGTTACGACGAGTAGGTAAGAGAAACCAAGACGAGAGGCTGCGTGGGGGCATCGAGAGTGGTGAATGGACGTGCATAGTTGCTGGCAGCGGAGGGCAATATCCCATGTCAGCGCCAGTTTTGCCCGTTGGGCTCCTAATACCCCGGCGACACTGTCGGTCCAGGGCTGTCTTATCCAAGTTTGGATCCCCAGATGGCAGGGCACGATCTGGCCGGTAGCTCGTGATGTATTGATCATGGCAGGGGTGTCAGGTAAAGTAGCAAACTGCTGGGCCGGGTCGACAAGGACTAATTGGAACCAGCCAGGCGTGTTGGTTTCTGTTACCACCTCCCTTGCCAGAAGGGGATTACAACAACGGAGGCGCCGTTGACGGGAATAGCAGCCAGTGTTCGATATGTGAAAGCGGAATTGAGGCTTAAGCAAGGATAGAGGTGTAATAAGCGATCATTGAAAGGACTGCAACGCCAACCAAATTTGACTTGCAGCGAATCGGAGAAGATCACGAGGGGTCTGCAAGAGGAATGGCAACGCTTACCAGGCGAAAGAGGAAGACGAACCAAGGACTTGTACTTGGAGTTGCTGCAGCTAGGTAGATGGCGGTTGGCGGCGTTCGGATGCCAATGAGACGGTGTCGTTGCGGCGCGGGTGGTGGCCCTGGTTTGGCTACCTAGGTATGCGCGAAAGTGAGATATGAGGTAAGTCTGGATAACCGTCGAGGTTCAAGCAAGGTGGGAAAGGTGAATTGCGTTCTGCAACTCTGCCAGTTGCGGGATCCGAGGACGTTGCAGAGAAACCAGCAGGGTAACCAGAAGAGGGCAGAGGAACGTATGGCGGCGTAAGGGAGATGTAGAGCGGCACCTCGGGTCTAGGTAGATCTAGAGTTCGGGTCGGGTATTCGCATGGGTAAGGTAGGTAGGTATGAGTGAGGCGTTGACGCAGGCGAGGTGTGCCTTCTCTCGCTTTCTCTCTCTCTCCCGGTCTTCCTCTTTCTCGCTGGACCTGTCAGGCAAGCTCCATGGACCACGGGCAGGCTCTCCAAAGTCGACCTGAATGGAGACTGGGGGACCAAGGCAAGGTGGGTAGGGTTGGTCAGTGGTTGGCATCCGTGGTGTAGTAAGGTAGGTAGGTAGGTAGCGACTGGGGACCGGAGCAGAACCTTGCACTAGAACCCAACCCAAGCCCGTGAAATCCAATGGTCGCCGGCCGGCTCTTGGCCAACCACTGCGCCGGTCTGTCCAATTGGAGGGGCTGAGCAGCAACAGCGACGGCCAAATTGTGGGGCATTCAGCCGGTGCGCTGTTGACCATCCCGATCATCCTCCAGCGACCCCCTGCTGCTGCTGCTGCTGCTGCTGCTGCTGCTGCTGCTGCTGCTGCTGCTGCTGCTGCTGCTGCTGCTGCCGCTGCCGCTGCCGCTGCCGCTACTGGACTCGCCCATCCTTGACACTCACACTGAACTGCCCGCTAGTGTTAGCGACGGGCAGGTGCGGGGTACCTCTCGCAGCTCTGCACCCTTGCACGTCGCACTGCAACAGACGTCTTTGCTCTCACGTATCGCTACTTGGGCAGTCCATAAACATGTTGTACTGGGCAAGTCTCCCAACGCAGACGTCGATGGGCCACTTGGCTGCATCGCGAACACCTGTCGTCTTCAGGTAACCCGAGCATATGCCTACCTACCTACTCCGGAAGCTTCACGCGACGGCTCATAAGACGAGAAAACAGAATGGGTGACATGCCCTGCACGCAGTCTCGACGCATATCTACCTAGTAGCTAGGTGTCCGTACATGAGGAGCACACGAACATGGCAGAACCTAGACGTGGTAACTTCACACAACATCAAAAACGCTCGTGCGCTTCCAGGCCAGGTAAGAGAGCTGTCGAGGAGTTGAGCACGTGGGGTTTCCTGACTTGCTTTTTCGTGGATCGTGGAGACAAGAATGCTCTCTCATGGTAGAATCCTCCCCGACGCTCGTGTCGAGCCCTGCAGCCAGCTAGCTGTACCTCTAGCCGCAGGCCAACCAAGGCAAGGCACCTTTGCTTCACTTGGTTGGAACCGTACGTATGGCCTACGTCTTCTGCGTACTTCGTGTGTACTTGCCTGTAACAGGTAAAAGTAGTTGGGTACTTGTTTTCAGAAGCGGCACAGCTTGCTTGCTCAAGGATGAACCGTGGTAGGCCCCCCCTCCTCTTCGCGTCACCCCTCAAAGCCAAGTCTTCAGATCGCCGGCCAATAGCGCCTCGCGGATGAACCACGTTTTCTGCTCGACATGCCAAGTGCGAGGCTGAATCCCCAAGACGCCATGTCGACACATATGCCAACGACATGCTTCCGAGCACTCGAAATTCAAGAAACCAGAAAGAATTTTCCGCGCCAAAACATGCACCCTAAGGGCCTGATCGGCTCAAAGTTGTAATGCTGCTTTTCTAGTCAAACTGGCCACTATGGATACCAAAAAAACAAAATAATCTAATTCTTTTAGGCAACTATACCTCTTCTAGTAGGAGATTTACGTGGGGTGAGTTATATATAATCTAGGCGAAGTTATATAAAGTTACCCCCCTAGTTAAGTATATATATCCCTTAGTAGGGGTTAAAAAAGCCCCTAAAAAGCTAAAAAATAAGCCTTTTTACTAACCTATCTCTTCTAGCTATACTACCTCTTAATATATTATTCTACTTAGATCCTACTAACGTAATAGACCTTAAAAAGGATTACTAAGTACTTAGCGCCCTATTAGCTAGGATTTTAGAGGAGCTATTTAATAATAATAATAATAATAATAATATTAATAGGTATACTCTACTAAAGGTCTACTATCTTACTACTATTTAATAGGGGGTTAAAGTTACTATTACTATAGCTATAGACTTTTTAAATAGTACTAATAATAACTTTAGAGACCTATTTTAGTTAATAAAGTTAGAGTTTAAAGCTCTTATTAACTAGCTAAGGTAGTAGTATTTATTTATTAATATGAGGTACTAGATAGTAGAGTAAAAGTTATTAATCTTTTTATATATTGCTAGCTACTTAGCGATATAGTAAAATATAGCCTCATACTTCTATATAGTATAAAGTACTATATTAAAGGTCTTCTATGAGGTATTAGTAGCCCTCTATACCCTCTATAAGTACTTTATGAAGTTACTACTATAGTTATATATATTAAGAGTTATTAAGCTTAACTTAAAGATATACTAGTTTAATAGCTATATTAAAGCTTTTAATAGTACCTATATCTTAGTATTTATTACTACTAACAACTAAAAGAGGTTTTATAATTAGAAGGGTTAATTAACATAAAACATACTAGTAGTAGTAGATTTTAATTACCTTTTTATATATATACTTATTAGTATAGAAGGGTTACTAAATAATATAACCTTACTTAACTAAGTGTTAGTATGCTCTTTTTTAATACCTAACAGTAAGTACTACCTTACTAATAGTAGCTTTATTTATAACCTAAGAGGTATTATAGTACTATTTGAAGGTAAGAGATATTATCTTAAAGAGTTTAGTAATAATATACTAGAGAGTATAAAGGAGTTATATAACTTATAGTATATAAGGCTGAGGATAAAGGTTAAGAAAGTATTTAAGGTTTTAAAGAGGGTTTTTATAATCTTATATAGAGAGGTACCTAAGTATAACTTTAATATATAAGTTAGGATTATATATACTATAACTAAGCTATATAACTTTATTAAAATTAGAGAGTGAGATATATAAGTAGAAGTAGAAACTTATAAGAGTAGTAATAAGGCTGAAATCCTCTAAGTAGCGCAAGAGAGGGCTAATAAAGTTATAAGAGAAAAAAGAGGCTTAGAGATTTATTAGTAGATAGCAGTTTAGACCTAATAGGTATAGGATAGTAAGTAGTTAGTAGTTAGTAAGTTAATATAGTTATTAAAAGTGATAATATAGGTAGTCTCTTAATATGATATTTAGCCTCTTTTTTTAACCTTACCCCTACTATAAATTAACTAATAAGAGCAATAAGAAGCTCTTATCGCCTTATTAAAGTAATCTTTTTAATACTAACTTAATAATATATAGGGTAAAATTAGGAGTAGAGTAATTCTATTAGTCTAAAAAAAATTAAGGTTTCTTTAGCATTAAATTAAGTTAATATTAGACTCTTTACTGCCCTCAGCTTAGCTATAAATATCTCCTTTATTAACTTTAATTATAAGCCTTAAAATACTATATTTTTCTAATAACACTAACCTTATAATATATAGAAAGGCGTAGAAGCTAGAAGTATATATTAGATTAGCTTTAAAGTACTTATATACTCTCACTAAGCTGTTACTACTAAGTTTTTTGCTATATTTACTTATATAGACCTTAATTACCTTTACGATAGCTTCACCACCTCCTGTTACAATATTATTAAGCTTATTATGCTAGATATATACTAACTCTATTTTTACCTCTAACTTAGCTTATACTGCTACTATCTTTTTATTAATTAATTAACTACCTTTAAATCTATTAAGTATATTATTTGCTACGCCTAGGCTTTTAGTATATTTATTAAGATCCTAGTTAGTAGTATGCTACCTCTTATATAGTTATATTAGAGTTT